CAGTGGTTCATGAGAAATGTTGCAAACATGACAAATAAATGAGTAAAATATTTTATGTGGCTGTCTGTAGATATTAGTCTTGGAAGGTCAGTTTGATGCTGACAGCTCAACAGCAAACTGAAATCAGATTTAAGAGATTCTTCAGCATCTTCTTGATCATTTGTTGACGGGGTTTTTAAGCAGGTTTTAGTTCTGATTGATTGATTGATGATGGCTGTTTTAACAGTACGCACTTTAAAGAGAAACATGCTCGCTCTCAGTTTGATACAAGATCTCAGATTACTGTGAGGAGTTTTTGCTCTTTGTCTGAAGTTGAAAGGCAAGGAAACATTTGAAAATGGAGAAAAACTTCTCATCACTGCTTGAAGCTACATTAGCTCCTGCTAGCATAAAATTCAAGCAATCACTGAGTGAACTGCAGGGGGTTGATTTGAGTTTTAAATAAAGGTGGCAAGTTTTGACAAGGAAGAAAACCTCACGAAAAACAGACAGTTTCACTGATCCAGTGGCATCATGGGTGCAAAGTCTGATATGTTTTAAGTGCAGTATGTAGTTATAGTTATATTTTCTTTATTATTGCTAAAGTTTCTAATATGTCCAATCCAAGTCTGTCAAATATACCAAATACAGTTTTATCACTGCTGCAGAAGGCGGTGGGTGGTAACATTTTTACCCATGTCTTTGTTTGTGTTCGTTGATGGATTTTGGTGAAACTCTCAGAAATAGTCATTAGATGAACATCTGCAAATGATTAACAATTGGAATCAACCCAAGTCATGATTGCACCACAACTAATCCATCTTAGCCAACACAAAAGTGGCTTTTCTTCTGTGAGTTTTACAAATATTGGGCTAAATTTGGTGTGGTAGTAGCTGAGAGTCATTCGTTCATTCAACCTTTATTTATACAGGTTAGTTTCATTGAGTCAACACATACTCTGAGCTCTAATAGATTTTGCAGGATTGTATTAGACCAAGCATAATGTAATTTATGACGTTTGAACAACTGTGTTTTGGAAGTAAGTGGATGACATACATCCATCCATCCGTCCGATATCTTCCGCTTATTCCGAAGTCGGGTCACAGGGGCAGCAGCTTGAGCAGGAAGGTCCAGACATCTCTTTCCACAGCCACCTCGTCCAGCTCTTCTGGGAGGATTCCAAGGCATTTCCATGCCATCTGCAAGACATGTAGTCTCTCCAGCGTGTCCTGGGTCATCCCTGGAGTCTCCTACTAGTCGAACATGTCAGAAGCACCTCCCTAAGTAGGTGCCCAGGAAGAATCCTTACCAGATGTCCGAACCACCTCAACTGGCTCCTTTCGATGTGGAGGAGCCGCGGTTCTACTTCGAGTCTCTCCTGTTAACTGAACTTCTCACCCTATGTCTCGGGGAGAGTCCAGCTACCCTGCAGAGGAAACTCATTTCAACCGCCTGTATCTGTGATCTCGTTCTTTCAGTCACTACCCAGAGTTTGTGACCATAGGTGAAGGTAGGAACATAGACTGACTGGTAAACAGAGAGCTTTGCCTTTTAACTCAGCTCCCTCTTCACCATAACGGACCGGCACAGAGTCCGCAATACTGCAGACGCTGCACCAATCTGTCATGCTCCGTTCTTCCCTCACTCATGAACAAAATCTTGACCCTGGCTTACCAAAACTGGTTAACATTCAGTCATTCAAATATTTTAAATAAAGAATATTAAAGACAGTTTATATAAAAAAAAAAAAAAGTTTAAATGTTTATATGTAATCTTTATCAAACTGTTTGTTTGTCCGAGCTGTTTTTGTCGCAGTACACCCAGCCACTACAAGCACAGCTGCCGCTCAATCAGAAGTCACCGTCACTGACTCGAGCATTTATACACTTGATGATTTCACCAGGCCTTTGCCAGATTGTTTTTGTATAGTTTGTTATAAAAGGCATTTTGCAGGCATGGTACCAAAATAGGACTTTTTGGGTAGAATTTTCCAGTTGTAGCCGTATGTTAAGTGCACAAGTTGTTGCTGTCTGTTGCAATCAATTGATCAATTATTCAAACATTATTCCCCATTTTTCAGCAAAGAACAACAGAAAAATAGCTGAATGAACTAGAAATCAGCCCATCTCAATATTAAAATATGCATAGTGGTATAATCAGGACAGCACTCTCCTGTTTTAGTGTGGTACACCGTGGGACATTGAAATATGCAGATGAAATCATTATTTCAACAAAGCTGCTATGATGAGAGCGTTTCTGTGTGGATTAACAAGGAGAAGGGCAGAGTTTTCCTTCATCCTCCCAGTTGTCCTTAATTAAGTCTTTGGAGGCAACAGCGGCTTTATGATCCGTCACAAATGCAGCGAAAACACACCTTTCTTCCTTGGTATCATTATTTAACATCTCTGTTTACTGTCAGACACCAGGTGCCCTTTTCACCTGCACGCTTACACAATGCAAGATGTTTTTAAGAGAGAAAAAGTTGGCAAAATATTGATGAACGTTAAAATAGTAATACGAACCTAGAAAATTCCTGGAGAAGCTTTGACAGAGACTGCTACGCTGCTGCCAATTTAAATTTTGATTTGACAGTACTTTGTGTTGGGGTGTGCTCTCAGCTACCACTTTAACAAATTACAGCTGAATGGCTCTGAAAATGGCAGAATTATCATGTTTTTTTCCCTTTTAACTAAGGTGGCCATCTTGGATTTTTGATTTGGATTCTATTTATGATGGGGAATGTTTTCAGCTCTAACCTCGCCAAATTTCAGCTCTGTATGTCTAAAAATAGCTGATTTAAAGCAATTTAAAAGTAGCTTTGGTGGCCATCTTGAATTTTTAGATTTTAATTCATTATTTAATGGGTATTGCTCTCGGCTACCAACACATCAAATTTCTGTTTAATGTCCAAAAATGGCTGCTTTATAATATTTTTTGCTTTTTAGCTCAGACGGACATCTTGGATTTTGATTTGCAGCCAGAGTCTATTAGGGATCGTTCTCAGCTACCAACACACCACATTTCTATTGAATAGATCTAAAAACAGCTGTTATCATATTTTATTTTCCCTTTTAGCTACCCCAAAAAGATCAAAGGCAAAGTGGTAAGGTTTTTTATTTTATTTTATTTTTTTATCTGCATCTGTGCTTGCATTCATTTGTCCATACTGTTAGCAAAATATTTATCTAGAACTAATGAACCTTTAGAGCCAAACTGATTCAAGATGGCCGTTGCAGCACATGCTTTGTCAGTTTTACAGATGTTGCGGTAGTGGCTGAGACTGATCCCCATCATGTAACTGTGCATGATTTGTTTTTAAAACTTTGGAACCAACTGTTGGAGCATACCCTGTTTTATTTTAGTAAATTATTTCATAAGCCACTTCACAAATTTTAATAAAAATACAAAATCAAAATTAAAAAACTACATTTACAACAGAAAATGTTTTTGCGGACAATCCAGTTCAAGATGGCTGCAACAGCTAACTGAACCCAGCCAGCACAAACAGCTGTAAGTCAGTTAATTTAACAGATGTTGAGCTAAAATTTGGTGTGGTAGTAGCTGAAAGTCATTCACAGTGCACACTCTGAGTGCTATTAAACCTCACCTATACAGTAAAAGGTAATGGGTGACATATACAGTACTCTTTCAAGAAATGCTAGGACTACCCCCTCATTTATAACCTCCTAAGACCCAAACTCTTGCATATGTGGATGCCAGGTGGTTAAATAATTTACAGTAATTAACTAGTAAAAAATAAATAAATAAAGACACTTGTTCCAACTATAAATATAAATTTGGGCTAATACAATCTTATCTATTGAAGTTGAACTTATTATAAACTAGAGACATTTCATTTTCTGCAAACATGCAGTGAGAATTCTTAGTGCAGAAGAACAAAACAGCTGAAATTAGTTGAAAAACATGCTGAATTGTAGCTGAAATGAAAGAAGCCTAATTCAGCAGAACAAAACAGAAAGAGGACATATTTGCTAAATAATGTTTAAATAAACATAAATGAGCACAAACATCACACAAAAAAATCTGAACTTAACAGAAAACAGCTGGAATTAGCAAAAAAAAGTAAAAAAAAAAAAAAAAAGTAACCGAAAATGTAAAACAAGTTTAAATTAGCAGAAGAAAGCAGAAAGAACATGTTTGCCCAGTTAGGCTTGCAAATACGGAAATGAACACAAAGAAATGGAAATGATCTGAAAATAAAAAAAAGAAATTTGCTTAAAACAGCTGAGAAGTAGCTAAAAAAGGGCAGAAATAAGCTGAAATTACCAAATGGAGAGAGTACATTTTTGCTGAATTAGGCTAGGAAAATTTTTTAAATTAGTACAAAAAATGTGGAATTAACTGAAAAAGCTAAATTTAACATAAAAACAGCTGAAAAGTACTTTGTAGCTGAAATAGCAGAAAAAGCTGAAACTTGCAGAAACAAGCGGAAAGGAACATAACAAGCTGAAATTAGCAGAAAGAAGTTAGAAGAAGCACACAAATATTGTCACTAGCAGAACAAATCTGAAATGAGCACAAAACAGCTAAAATTAACTGGAAGTAGCTGAAAAAGTGTAAATTTGAACAAGGAAGTTGAAAGACGCTGAAGCGGAACAAAATGTGAAAGGAGCAGTAAAAGGATGTAAAGATTTGAAGAATGTAAAATGAGCTCAATTCATTTCCTATAGGAAACTAGTGGCAGAAAAGGCTAAATATTTCAAAAAGCTAAAGTTACACCAATACCAAAAGTCAAAGCAGGATTATCCTGAAAGAGCTGAACATTTGATATATGATTTGTTGCATTAACACAAAAATTGTGGAACAAGAAAGATGCCAAAAAATGTACAGAAGAAAAATGGATCACAATAGTGTTCATTCATAAACATTCTCGCAATAAAACTGTCTGTTCATCAGAAACAGGTCTGCTGAGAAACAATCTGGCCTTAGATTAGAACAGGGTGATCACACCTGGTGTACATTACAAACAGCTAATTGTTGTTTTTTCTTCTCTGTCGTAGTTTGTGCCGTTCAGAGACTACATAGACAGATCTGGTAACCAGGTTCTCAGCATGGCCCGATTGGCTAAAGATGTCCTCGCTGAAATTCCCGACCAGTTGCTGTCTTTTATGAAGAGCCGAGGAATTGAACCACGACCATCCATGTCCTCTTCCCCTCTACCGGCACTGCATCGGCACATCTGACCCCAGACATATCTCTTTACCCTGTCTCTGTCTTTCCCTCTTAAACAAATCAACCAGCTCACTTACAGTTGTATGTCACTTTAAAAGAAAACAAAGAGCAACTTGTTCCTTTTTCATCCCTGGTAGGGTTCAACAAACACAAATCATCCCCACAGCAGGTACTCGCCTGCTGCAACTCATCTTTTCCTCTTTCTGTCATTACTTTTTGAAGACTGTATGAAAAGATGGTGAAGACGACCCATGACCGTGCCCTGCAAGCTGACATTTAAACATTTTGAGATGACTTTTTAACATTTCTTTACTAATTCCTCAACAGGAATTTGCCAGGCATGCTTTAAACAAAAGGTCTGTACAATTACCCGCAGCCAGTTTTGACATTTGTCACCATTTGTCCAATTACAGACACAGATAAATTTGTTAGTACCCTTACAGCTCATTAAATCATTTCTAGATACAAACTATTAATTTAAAATCACTTTTCTTTTGTATAACTTTAAGCTTCTAGTATGTGACAGAGTAATAGAAAGGGGGAAAGATATGCTAACCTGTAGACAGATTTGTTGTTGCCCTTAAATTATCATTTTTCTTGCATTTTAGTCTGTTTCTGACTAAGTGTTTGACCTTAGTACAAGTGCCTTCAAGTTTTTCATCACCACTGAGTGTATTTAAAGATAGTTTGTATCCACTGCACTGAAGACGAAGCAACAAAAGCAAACTGGGAGCTGTCACTGGAGCTCAGAAAGAAAATATTAGACATCCATGTTAAAGGTAAAGGCTACACAACCATCTCCAAGCAGCTTCATGTTCCTCTGACCACATCTGCCTATATTATTAAAAAGTATAAGTATAAGGCTGGACAATAATTCGATATATATCACGATATACCGGGTACTTTTATTCAATAATAATATGGGTTTTAAGCACATTTTCGATATATATTATGCTATGATTACAGCGTTTCACTGACACATTTATTTTTCTGTTCGGGTTGAAGCGGCTGCTTCAACCTGAAAAAAAAGTCGCGACACAGCTACGTAAGTGCGTGGTGACGTACACCACCCGCAGAGCTCGAGTCCAGAAGGAGTCAGTGGTAGCTAGGCTAGGCTAAGCTCCAACGCACGGTAAGTTTTCTCTCCAAAATGAGTGCCCACGACCGTCAGAATGTGACTGAACAAGCTTTCACAAGCGAAGAGAAAGCAGACGATATAACTGATAAGAGAGGAAAGACTAGTTCGTCGGTGTGGAAGTGGTTCGGCTTTCTAAGATCCCATAAACTGCAGGTGTGCTGCAAGATGTGCCGCAGATTTGCTGCATTTAATTTGCTGCATTTAATTTGCTGCATGGGTTATGGTTATGTTGTTGTTTAAAGTTAAAACTATTAATATTGACAAAGTTGAGAGTTTTATGTTGATTTGACGGTGATTTCAAATTTCTTTGAAGGCTATATACAAATAAAAGGTGAACATTATTTGTCCAGTTCATACAGGTTTTTTGAGACTTTTATATTGATATCGGAATTATATCGTTATCGACCGAAATTAAGAAATATATCGTGATAAACGTTTTGGTCATATAGTCCAGCCCTAGGTTCATGGGACTGTAGCCAACCTCCCAGGACATGGACGCAAGAGGAAATGCAACCCCAGGTTGATGAGATTGATAACCAAGAGCCAAGAAAACATCCAAAACTATTCAAGCTTCAACTTCCAGGTCAAAATAGACACCTAAATGTGCACACAACTTTCTTCTTTTGACTAAATTTAGCTTTGGTGATTTTAGACAATTTAAATGTGTTTTGAAATCGATAATGGCCAGTGCAGTATGAACTGTGGTTTTAGATATTCATGGTAAAGGTAAAGGCTACAAGGCCTCTAGTCTCATTAATTGTGTGTTTCTTGGGGGGTTATGGTGGAAGGGTACAGACAAATTTATTTGCGTCTCTAAGTGAATGACTCTGAAACTAAATGAATTAAAACTCGTTAATGAGCAAGGCATCTCAAACATGCCTCTGGTGGCACAAAGTTTAAAACTTACTTGACCTTTGGCACCTTGTATGATTTATTCTCCCAAATAATGTCTGTAAAAGGACTCATCGTAACGCCATAACGACTGGCCAGAAAAATGAATTAAGTAGGAAACAAAATCTGCACACCTTGTTTTTCTACATTGATGGATAATTCTTGTGTAAGTACAATTTGTGAATGGCTGTCAACTACCACGTGCGTTTGTTTACCTTTGGAAACAGCCAAATTGACTGAAAATGGGTCCAACATGGTGGCCCTCATGAAAGAGCCATTTCAGATGGAAAAGTCCGACAATTTTATTGTGTGATGTGTCATGTGATGTTTATTTGTATGTATTTATGGTCAGATGTGTTGCGTAAAGTATGCAGAGAAAATGCTTTGTTTACACTGAGTGTGGACCTGCGTTTCAGAACTGAATATCAATGTATCTGGAAAAACGACTGGATTTAATTGATTCAAACTACGTTGTCTGATACAGTTCACATTTTTATGTTTAATTGAACAGTTACTAATGAGTTCCTTTAAACCCATCCACAGTTGTTCTTTTAAAAGTACCAATCTAACATGGGCAGATGTAGCGCTCATGATCAGGTCACATGTTCTCAGATCAGAACCAGGCCCAGACACACACACACTCACACTTCTGTCTGCAGAGCCACACCCCACCCCTGCCCAGCATGGGGGACGAGGCTGGGTGCAGACCCCCCCACCCCCCTGCTGCTAGAGAAATGCCAGTGTCTCCAGCTGCCCTGCAGAGAGGAGAAAGAGGGAGGGGAGAAGGAAGGGAACGAGCCAGGGGGAGGGCGTAAAGGGAAGAAAGGTGAGGCAGGGCAGAAGAGTGGAGGAAGGAGACGGATGCTCAAGGACACAAGGAGGAATATTTGTTTTATATGATGCTAGAAAAGTATCGGAGTAAACGTGGCAACATAGAGTTTAGTGCTGTTTGTAGATTAGATCGAGAAGTCGTACGTATTTTTAGTCTAAATTAATCTTAACGAGGGATTAATGCACATTCTATGAAAAGCAATACAAGTGACTCCCATGTAATGTTTGCCCTATGCATGTACCTTCCTCTCCCCTTCCATTTCTTGACATTTTGTTTCCAGCCCGGACTGGAGCTGCGTAGGGAAAGGCCTCCACCTAGTGTTTACCCTTTGTATTATTGGGTATATTTATTATGCATGACTACTGTGCTTTCCTATACTCTCCTTAACAGTACATGTGCATGACCACATTCTGGAAAAGTGAATATCTAAACATAAGAAGACGAATCAAGGCAAAGAACTACATACAACTTCAAGGACCTAGATACTTTTCTGTGAAATGTGTTGCTTTTTCAAGTGAATGTCAAGTTGGTTTAGTGTTTTATGTGCTGTGGATTGACTTTTTTCCAAACTCGTTTTATGTTGTTTTTGTTTTTTTTGCATGTTGAAGATTAAATCCACTGCAGTGTTATAATAAATGCCTCCCTACCTTAAAAAAAGAGATAAATGTGTATCTCAATATGCATTTTTTCCCCCCTCTGTCATTGTATATTTTCATGTGTTTCTGCTCTGTGACTTGCAGAATCCGGTGAACCAACTTGTATTTTTGATATTTTGAACAAGTGATGAAATCCAAATGTAGACACTAACTGAATCAGAGACATGTCTGCAGATGCTTAAAGCCCTGCTGTGTTTTCTGTCTTTTAACTGTATAAACATGAATAAATGAAGCTGTATATTAAGTCGTTGTAAATACATCACGTTGTGTGATAAAACAAATGTCTTTCTCTCATTTGCTCATAGAGATTAAAAAGCAGTTTATGTTGGTGTTTCTAATAACATGTTTATTAAATGTTCAGGTTTTTAAGAATGTCCAATAAGAAGAATGTAGAAGTTAGGAAAAACTGTTTTCACGAACATATTGCTGTTTCGATATGAAGTTGAAATATATGTGTGAGTACTCATATTTCATAAAGTTGAACTTATCGAGCAGAAACAAGACTCATAACGGAGTTATAGCTCCAAGCAATTCATCACCATCCTCTGGATCTGCTTGATCTTTTGTTGAAAATACCTGCTGACAGTAAGCTGAGATATATAGACGTGTTTTCACCAAATGTATAAGTTCCATATGTCCAGTTTTTATGAAACAACTTTAGCTTTTATCCATCTGTCCCTGTTAGAAAAAGAATTGCACCATCTGTCATTGTATTACTACTCCAAAGCAGGAATAAAATGTTTCTCTGCAGGAAAATGTGCTGCTCTTTTGTAACTTTTTGATGTTAAAGATGTTTTTTTTTTTTACGTTAACAAACAAATACAGTAGAAATTGTAGTTATGAATTTTATTTGTACCAATAGACATATAGTCAAGTCAAATGTATTTGTATAGCACATTTGAAACAGGAACTGTTACCAAAGTGCATTAACTAAAGACATAGATGGGGAGACTAAAGCTGCAGCCATTTGAGCGGCGCCACCTTTTCAGATAAGGAAGGTGACAACATAAGGAAAGGGGAAATCAGAGACGACCTCAGCACAAACAACAACATAAATAGACATAAGACATATGCATTTATGCACAGAGGAAAACAAAGGCGGTGAGTAGTCCATGGACATTCCAGAAAGTTCCAAAGTTCTGATAAGATGGTACAGTGTCTATCAGCGTCACAATTCTGATAAGGCCACAGATGTCCTCGGGAGGGTGGGACAGGCATAAGCTTCTAGTTTACGTATCCTCCAGGAGCAAGTAGAGATAAGAAGACCTGTCCAAGGCCAGCGGGGAGGCCAAATTCAGATAAACAACAATTGTTTTGGCTGCCAGACTCTGTTTTCTGTCTGCATTCAAGTTCTGTTGGTACACTCAATGGTGAATCCAAACAGCCAGCTTTATGGACATTCCGCCCGGTCCGTGCTCAATGAGCTTTCTCAAGATTGAAACCTTCATGCTGGCGAGTTCCAGGAGCCACAAGTGGCGTACGATTCTCAGAAATCGCATCCAGTTTGCGGTTGAGCTCTTTAAGCATGAGTCTGAGAGCTCGAGGCATGAATTAATCCTTCACATAAGGCCGGCAGCTTTACCATGGCCGAAACTGCTGCCGATGTCTTCCTAATTTGTCAATATCCTGG